GTCGGGAAACCAGTGTGAAGCTCAGAGCTTGTCCCAGCTGGGGCGGTGCCACGATGGTAGAAGATGCTTGGTTTGGGGAAAATCCCCGCAAGCCGCCATAGGTCAGTGACGTATCTCACCATCCAGCGGGGGGAGACCACCTCCCGCGATAAAACATGTACTTCACTTACGGGAATAATGGCTTTAGCCGTTAACGCGCCCGGAATCACTAATAAGTCAAGCAGGCGAAGCGGCGTGTCAGCGCGCTGAGAAGCGAGAGGGTACTTACGGATGGGCGACGACGGCGGTGGCCAGGGCGGCCACGAGGGGCCCCAGTAACATCGTCATCGCGGAGGAGCGGTCCCACAGCGGCACGGCGCGGACGCGAAGGCAGCGGACGGACGGTGGCTGGCGCTGGCCGCGGCGCACTGCATGGCCCCCACGCCGGCGAGCGCGCGCCCGCGCCCGCGCCCGCGCCCGCCCGCAGCCGCCCCCGCACCCGCAGCCCCGCGCGAGCGCCGGCCTCGCCACCTCCCCTCCCCGCCCCTCCCCGCCCCCTCGCCCCGCGCGGCCTTCGCGCGGGGACGCGCGAGCGCCTCCAGCGCCGGCGGGTTGGGATAGGTCTCTCGGCGGCGCGTGCGCGGGCCGATCAGGATGCAGGAGGTGGCCGAAGAGACACGTGAATGAGATGACTTTTTTTTGCCTGTTGGGAGTTTCTACAACTGGCACCGTTTCTCGCCTTCCACATCCCATAATGTACTACACTATCTTCTTGTACACTTTCCTTCATCTCAGTGCCTATTCCATTTTTCCATGCTTTCTCTGATCTGACGGGTTTCTATCTACTTCCAGACCACAGTCTAGAAGCTTCTTTGATCAACGGTCCTACATTAAATTTTATATGTGCCCATATCGACTCAGTCGTTTTGGTACACTACGGTCATTGCATCTGTAGCCCATTCTATTTTTTTTATTTTTTATTTTTTAGGCAATTCATTACGAATCAGTGTCAGGGTCTAAATGCAAGGTATTTGAGACAACGCTCTGAATATGTGATCTATTGGGTTCTTCTATCAACTCACAGAGGTTTCTACATCTTATCAAAGTCTCTGAAAAGTGATCTTATGGTACAACAAGGGGGACCTCTCAGAAAGAGCGGAAATTCTGCCATCAAGCAGGAGACGCTTTCATTCTAACCTAATCCTCTTTAAACTAATGAAGGCAGCAGCTGACGCATCGATTCGTGCATTGTTCCATAACTTTATTCAATGTGTGTACAATCGGCAACGTTGGACACCTATGATATCGTGCGGTCCGTGTCGGTTTCCCTTCATGTTCCAATTAGCTCACATTGTATTCTTATTCATGACAATTATCACTTTTCTCCCGCTAACATAATTCGTGTATCACGATGTTTCAACTTTAACTTGCTGTGCATTTTGCCAGCATATGTTAATTGACTAGCGACCGTACCGGCTGATGTGACTCAGAGCATCTGTCACTGCAATACTTCTGATCGGGAGATCCTAGGGTTCGAGACCCGACGGTGGCAGAGTTTTCGGCAATAGGAACATAACTAGTTCGAATGCACCCGCTCTCTGGAGTAAAATTTTAGTAACTGACTGCTCTGGTCGGTGGATTTTCGTCGTTTCACTCATCAACGCCAAACGAATGACGGATCAGTACCGGATCAGAACAAACGGGCTACGGACCGCGTGTGATATTATCTTCCTCTTCCTTGTCCTATGCTCACACATTACACACACATGCAGTACCCCACCACGTGTTGGAAGACCCAATGTAAGTATGTCTCTATAAAACACATTTGACAATATATGACGTACGAGGTGAGTTCTGTTAAATTTGTCGAAAATAAATATACTACTTTTTATACAAACGTGATTGCAATCTCCTAATACGAAGTAGTAACTAAGAAATCACGACAGTAAAACGTAAAGAAAATTACGATAAGTTTTTAATGCTGAAAGTGAACCTACCATGCCGTTCTCCTATGGATCGTCGAAAATTATTATAGTTAATAAAGCTTAATATAATTAAAATTGCAAGAGCTTTATACACGCTATGGAGGCCATAGGACAAATAAAGGAACAATTTCAAGTCGGCCAATGTTTACTCCATTTTATCTCGTAAAGAGTTCTGTTGTATTTTAAGTGCGGGATTGCTGCGTCTTCTTAATGGATGAAGTTATCGTAATCTTTCCTATCCGAGACGACTGCAAATCACAGTATTGCGATTGAGGTGACGTTTTTACTCTCGCTTACTCTATGTACTTACTTACATAGTAAAGAGAAAGTTTGGAATGCTGAAGCGGAAAGTTGTGATTTAACGTCAGAAAAACTCATATTGAGAGGACCCGAGATAGAAAAAATGGGGAAATCTTGTTGTAATTATGTAGCAAATGGGGAATGTGCAGTTGGAGTGATATGGAACCCATAATACGTCTAGATACGACTCGTACGAGGTGATACGTACGTAAGCATTCTGTCTGATCACCTGCACCCATTCATGTCCATTGTGCATCCCAACGGACTTGGGCATATCCAGCAGGACAATACGACAGCCCACCCGTTCAGAATTGCTACAGAGCGGTTCCAGGAACACTCTTCTGAATTTAAAATCTTTCACTGGCCACCAAAATCCTTAGACGTGAATATTATTGACCTTAGGTTGACCTGGGATGCCTTGCATGCGTGCTGTTCAGGAAATATCTCCACCCCCTTCGTACTCTTTCAGTTTATGGACAGCCCTGCAGTATTCATGGTGTCAGTTACCTCCAGCACTACTTCAGACATTAGTCGAGTCCATGCCACATCGTGTTGCGGCACTTCTGCGTGCTCGCGGGGGCCCTACACGATATTATGCAGTTGTTTTGTGCTGTTGTAACACTAGTACTTTCTTATAAGAAGTTTGTACTATGAAAAGTAAAAATAAAACGGCCGATAAAACAAATAACAGACTTGGTTGCTTGTTAAACCTCGTCAGTCGCATCTCATACAACATTCAACAGAGTACCTTACTTGCTGTGTAACGTCTACGAAGAACGAAACGCCCTCGCGGGTTTCAACTGCAATTCGGCCACCCCGGCATCGCCTGCCGCTCAGCCGGAGGTCTCATGACAGAACCATTCTTAAATATTCTCAAAAAGAGAAAGGAATCACAATTGAAAATTGACAGCAACTAAAATTATAATCTGGAAGATAGTTAAATATCGTGTTTGGACGTAAAATAAAACTCTTCGTGAAGGCCTTCAGTCTCCAAAGTAAGTAAAATAATAAATAAAAGTAGTATTAGGTATCAACCAACAGAAAATAAATGTATACTCCTATTATCTAGCAGTTATTCTCTCCAAAACAGTATTTCGCCTTCATCGAGACCATGTCCCGCCTACATTTGCTTTTTGTGAAAACTAGGCATACCAAGGTCGCGGGAAAGGTAATTAGCTTACTCGAGTTCGCGGGCACTGTTTCCAACTGCCGCAAAAATTTAAAAGTAAAGGTTGTATACATTTCTCGTCACTTCATTTACTTAAGAGTGCAGTAGTGTTAAGAAAAGTTGTTGCACATGCATTAACTTTGTACATTCGGGTGAAGAATAAAGATTGTTAAAAGAGATGTCCGCATGTAAGGGTAATAGAATGATTCTAAGAGGGGTTTTACTGAAGGTAGACATCTTAGCGACTTGTTAAATAATTTCACATTACTGCTGTACACAAAAATAATTTAATAATTAAACAAACATTAACCCAAAACGAAGAGGCAAAGAACTTTCCATTGAAATATATTCCTGTCCCTTCACAAAAATTATTACATAAGACTGAATTTAAAAAAAAAACTTATGTGATGTAAAGTAATAATTAAGTCTTATTATAATCATAATTCAACTCTCGATTGTTTGCTGGAAAACATTCAGCGAACACATTTTTGTGTGAACCAAAATTCCTTATAATACGAATATTTGGAACGTGCTTTGGGCTTATCCGGCCTGCTATAGATAGTGCGTGTACACCTTCTTATTGGAGGGGATTTGGAGGGGAACTGAGAGCGGAGTCAGGGGAAGGGTCCCGAGCTCGCGAGGGCGCCGGGCTTCCCAGGCGAGCGGGTAGTTCGTGCGGTCTCATTTTGACACGCCTGGTGTAGTAAACAGAACATTTGTCAACAATGAAAATATTGATGAAATTAGGCGATAAATTATCATTTATGACTGCACCTTTAGCATATATAGTTTTAAAGAAAAGATGTTTTTATCAGCAGTAAATTAAATGGGAAAAAGGCACGGAGACGCAGGTCTTCCGTGCATTGAAGTCTCCGCACGGCTCAGGCGGGTGCAAGCGGCAAACGGAAAAGAACATGCCCGGATGGAGGGAATCGGGAAACCAGAAGACGAGGAATATTTTGAAAAAAATGTAAAGCAAATGGATGATTGGAATATGAGCGGAATGTGCTGCATAATGGTTGGTGATTAAAAGAATTGTACGTGGTAAAGTATGGCTTGAAGCAGGATTAGTAAAACAATCGAAATCGAAATCTAAAATTATTTACTATACATAAAAATAAATGAGAATAAGTGACAAGTGGTCCTCCCAACTTACTTCCGATACTTCTTGATAGAACATCTCATTGATATTATAATTATATATTACATTATTACTTCTCCAAAAATTGGTATTCTTTCATCTAGTAGAAGAAAAATAATAAATTAGAAATAAAGAATTTGAAGAAAAAGAAAATTTAGAAAATAGAGGTGAGCTACATCATTACCTATCACACGTTTCAAATAAGTAGAAATATAATATGGATTTGTTTTTATAATACCTAATGATGCTAACAAGACAGGTTCCTGGAACGTTATGTATTAAAGAATTTTTTCTCAATTTCTTAAGAAAATTTGACTGTCTAAAAATATATTGAGGACTCTATACGCATAACTTTAATAAAATAATAGGTTTCTATTTTCAACATTATGTTAAATTCTTTATTTAACAACAAATTTCCTTGTTTCAGCCCAGAGAGTCGAGACGAAAAGCAGCCGCAATGCCGAGTAACAGGGGAAAGCCGACTATGGAGATATACCGTCCTCCAAGTACGTATTTATTTTATTTCCAAAAAAATGTGACATTCCGAAATTTAATAATTATGCCATTTGTCTTAATGCATTGAATTTTAATAAGTAGTCCCAGAAAGAAAAAATATATTTTGTAAGAGCTCAACTGGCAAAATCACAGTTCTGGGAATTCGATTTAACAATTTTAGTGGTTGATTAAACAAAGGGCAGAAAAAGCTTATTCACACAAAAACGATTATCCACACAAACGCGACCTAGAAGAAGAAGAATTCGTTTTCTCCAAATATCTGAAAAAAATATAAGAAAAACAAGAGGTTTGCGAGAAATGTAAATTAATATAAAATAAAATCTTAAAATTTTCTACAAAAGTGGAATTATTTGGGTTTAGAGTAATTTGTGAAATCATATTCCGAGGAGTCTAAATACTCATTCTGTTTTTCGCGCTGAGTTCTGACGCTAAACAAGCAATAAGACACGGAAATTGGCAGATAATGCTAAAGCCATAATTCAGTTTCCCAAACGAATATTATTTAAGTGTTTGATGTGCTAGATAATATTATTTATGAAAGTAATTTTAGTTACCTAAATTGTCGTTCAGGAAATAGGTAGAACCATCTGATAACAGTGAAATTAATTTATTTTGACAGATGTCAGGACTGATATAGTTACGAATGGTGTGTCGCCCATTAGTGCACGACTGAACGTTCACGCCAAGGAATTCACTATGAAGTCAGGAGATATCAGCATGTCAAGGTAAGTGCACTTTATAAGGACAATGTATAACATATTCAGGATGTTAAACACCATGGGCTCACTAGCATTTCGACACTTTTCTATCGGTGGCGTAAGACAAGCTGGAGACTGGCACCGATGCCATGTGCAAATCGAAGGAAGCATTCCTTTAGGCCTCTAGCCGAACTCTGAAAGAACTCTCGAGGACGGACATTACCACAAAAGGCGTTGGCAAGCTGCTTCCACTGCTTTCAGAGAAAAGTAGTAATTCCTCTCACAAAACGTGACTGAGAAAGCTGATTCGCTCCCTCATTCACGTGAAGACAGTCGTCTGTGACGGTGACACTTGCTTCAAAATTTATTTAGTACCCTTCAACGTACATAAGAAATGCAGTCGGACTAGAAAAACATTCCCCAGAGATACCCTTTGACCAATAACGCTTGTGCGGCAAAAAGCGAGCTAAAATGGTTTCTTTGGTAGGTGTTAAAATAACGACGAAATAAAATTCACTTTGGTGTATTTTACGCGTCTGAAAACGTCGTTGCGAAGCAGTTTGAAGATCCTACACTGTTGCAACAAGAGCGTGGGTTTGAATTGTACTAATTTCGATCGTACCTGTGTACGATGGTGTACGTACTTGTGTACGATGATGTCGCAAACGGGAAGTGGGGGATCAATTGATGTCACTGCAGTGCCTCTGACAGGGAGGTCCTATGGTTCGAGTCCTGACGGTGGCAGGATTTTCATCCCTGGCTAGACAGCTAGGTGAAGTCCAAGCGCTGTCTGGAGGAGAATGCTAGCGGCCGGCTGCTCTGATATTGTTTTCTGTGGTTTATACAATCATCACCAGACACTTGCCCGAGCAGTACCCTAACGGGTCAGGGACCGCGCCCGATCGTTCCTTCCTCTTCCTTGGGCCATCCTCACCTCTTACACTCACATGCACTTCACTATCACATTTGTCGGGAGCTTAGAACTTGTCCCGGCCGGGGTGGTACCCTGCTGGTGGGAGACACCTGGTTCGGGAAAACCCCGCAAGCCGACGTAGGTCGGCGCCGGATCTCACCAGCCCACGGGGGAAGATCACAGCCAGGCCCGCGATAAAAACATGTACTACATTTACGGTACCAATGACCTTAGCAGTTGACGCGCCCTGAATCACTAATCAATCGATCAAATCGAATGGGGGAATGAAGGAGGCGAAATTGACTAAGGTGCCTTCACAGGAGGCAGAGAATAAAGATTTGACGGAAGAGCACAATAGAAAGGTTAAGATTGAAAACTAAAAAGGACCATTTTTCCCTCCCAAGAAGAGACGAAAATCACTTTAAAACATTCTGGAACAAATTTCTCCAACTGCCTGTCCCCCTTCTGGGCACCGCTTTTCTGGAAACAAAAAGGCAACAATGAATCAAAATAAAGTAAATATTATTCGTTATCCTGGAATTATTATCTCTTATACAGATTTTCTTGCCCTTTCCTCGGAGAGTCTGATGTCACTTTTGGAAAAGTATTAATATGTCCAACCAGGGACACAATTCATTCATGTTATTCAATTCAGTTATATTCGTGATTTCCATCCTTTGAAAAGCTCAACTCAAGAAATCCAAATCAAGAAGCCTTAATTGAAAAATTAATCCTTTCCATGAACATTCTTAGGATTTATTCATACTATGCTGTGTAAGCAATGACAGCCTTTTGACTTTTCTTTTTACTCAAGCATCTATTTGACTTCCTGCCCTCATGAAGAATCATGCCGAGAAATAACTATCATCACCTACAGCAGTATCCCATTGAAAACAGACCGCATGTGAATGTTTCTTTCGTGGTTTTCATTCTCAGACCTTCAGTTGGGGAGGGAGAAGCTGGGAGAGCAGTTGCAAGAAGCATCCTGAGAGACTCCCTCTTTTCTGTTCAAGGAGCAAATCTACTCATTAGAAGGGAAAGAAGAGGGGAGATCAATTTCATGCCAAGTGTAACGGAATAATTTTAAAAAATATATTGTATTCAAATGTAATTTCATCAGTAATTGAACAATATTTCACCTTTCAATTTAAAAATGTAATAGTCAAATAATTAATACAACTTTCAGTATGTAGTATTTTGAAATTAGTTAAATATACCTCCATGAGCAGTAAAATATTTTTAAAACTGCATTATTTACTTTTCCCATCTGAATTAAATTACAATTTTGGTTTTTATTAATAAAATAATTCACAATTAATATATACTTATGTAGTTCTAAAAAGAAAAATATGTTGAATGAATTAGTGGAGATCCTTAACCCTGGGAGCCCCAAGTATATATAATTCTCATTCATTATTGTAATAACAAAGTGCTCCTAAATCAACTAATAAATTGTAATTTCTATGAATTTCCAAAATGAATTTATAACTAGATAGACAAATTTAAATTTTAGATAATTAAAAGTTTGAGATAATTTAGATTTTTATTTTATAGTTCAAATATGCCCTTGGACTCCTCCTAAGATTAAGAGCCCTAGCCTTGAGCTATTGGTTCCATTTTTTTTTTGTTGTCACTGTCATTAAGATTTTGGGAGAGTCATTGTCTTTACTGTGAAACTGCAATTGCGTCAAAGAAAATGACAACCTAAAACTGAAGCCCAACTAAATTATGTAATGCATGGAACCAGTCAAAGATCATTTGACCAATGATAATGTATTGCTTAAGGAAAAGGTCAGTAACCCATTTGCTTCAGCTTTCTTCCTCCCTTTCACCTCAGATTTAAATGACATGGCCTACCTTCTTTCTGCTATACTTCAATTTAAAAATTATGGAAGGACTAGGAATGAGATCACCAAATTTCAACCTAATGTCAGGATACACACCGGAATTAGCTATAAACAGAAATATGTTACATATATTCCACCTACAACTACCTTTTCAATCACTCAAGTAGTGTGTGCAGATCCAACACAATCACGTCTCCAAAACGTCAAAAGACGATGAAAATATTCTCAGTCATGACACCTGGGAGACATCAAATGACACAAAATGGGTTAAGTGAGACCACCTATTTCTCAGTCAAATGACTAACAGTCCCTTCTGCTAATTTTCAGAGTGCAGAATAATTACAGGCTTAATCTAAAAATATTTGGGGATGGTATTGTTTTGTGTATAAGACCCTCATGCGTGTGTTTTGTGTTATTCGACACACATATTTTAAACAATTAAAATGAAATCTTACATTTCAATAGTAGGTATCTTTATTTTGTGAATTTTGTACCTCATTTATGAAATGACTTTTTGTAAAGTTATCTGTTTCATAGCGGTTCAAGTTTTTTTTACTGCATGGCCATTAGCACAGAATCCAATCAAATAAAAATGCACATTATACATCACAAAGTGCATATTCTCTTCTTCCTTGGTTATATGTTTATTATAATTACCTTTTCTCTACCAGTTCTGTTACCCTCTATTTCTATAACTTTCACTCTATTATTGTCATATTCTTGGATCAATACAATTGTTATCGCAGTAGATTGATCTCACGCCATCTGCACCAGAAGGTATAATCATTGTTAAATTGAGGTATTGTACATATTTTATATTATAGCAGCAGAAGTTCATCTTTGTGCAGAATAATGTTCATAACAAATTTATTATCATTCTTCCATAATTAGACTTAATAGTAATATTTTTGCATTTTATGTTAATTCACTTGTGAATAGTGCATTAAATGTTAGTTCTGATTTGCCTCTCAAATTTATTAATATGAAAACTGATGTTGGCTAATAGTAATAATCCTTAACATATCCTTTCTTGTGTGACATGACTATGTCACTGTTTTAGGTCTAGCAGTCACGTACCTGCAGCTCTAAACAACCATATCAATAATAATATGGCCTACAAGGATGGTATTCGTCATTCTCATTATTTGCAGACTTCAAAATCTAGTGGTAATATATTGCACTCTATTCAGCACTCAAAATCAAGTGGAAATGTCATGCATTCACTGTCTCAAAGTGTATCCAGTGGGAATATTTTACAGGTATGTTTCAAATCTTTTTGAGAATTTGAGAACCATGGTCATTAGATTTGTGAGACTTAAATTTCAATTAATTTTCAAAAGATTGCTTAGGATAGATAATGATTTGGCACTGATTCAAGTAATTTTGTGACTATTTGTAAGTGTGTAAGAAAGTAATATTAATAACAATATAATTATTTAAAATTATATTCTACTTGCATTTGGTTATTCTGCCTTTATGAAAACAAATTCACTATTTTGAGAAGGAACACAGTGTACTTGCTATACTACTTACTGATCTAGGCAAAAATCTTAATTGCTTTTGTGTTTACAGGGTCCACGAGTTCATTTTCAACTGGACACAACTAAGCACAGTGATGTACCAGAAACTGAGTCTCCTCCTAAAAATTCCTCTCAGGATTTTGGAAACAAAATACCAATGAAGTCCTGTAGTGTTTCAGAGATGAAATCTGTTCTTGCAGAAGGGAACAGAATCATTAACTCTGATATAAATGATGTTTCTAACAGTATCAACCAAAAATCCTTCCGCCCCCAATCAATGATGTTGCCTCTTGGACTGAAACGCTCCAAGAGTCTTGGTGCAGCTGACATGCTGGCAGCTAAAAACTCAACTTCCTTTGGCATTGCAAAGGAAGCACCAGATCTGGGAACTTTCTCTCTGGAAGTCCAGACCTGCATCCACAGAGCAGTTGATGGTAAGATTTTCACATGCATCACTTAATACTTCATAATTCCCTTAATGTAAGATATTCTTTTATAAATGATTGTTTGACACATGAGATATAAGTAGGTTATAAAGTGAGATTTTTCTCTCTCTCTCACTCTCTCTCTGATAAGAGATTCTTAGTTGTAGAAATGTCAGGTGCAGTCAATTTTGGCTGAATATTAGTCTAGGTTTGTTGGTTAATTTATTTGCATTAAAATCAATAACAACCAAATATGACATTTAGAGGGGAGAGAACATCTATATTCATTGCCAAGAAGCAAAACATGAGGGACAATCTCTTCCTTTTTTTTCTCAGTGGAACAAGGGAAAATGGACAAAAATTCCTCTCAAAATGAAGATCATGAACTAAAAATTACAACTATTAATGATAAATAAATTCAAAGAAAGTAATAGTCTTTAAATATTTTTCTTGATAAGTATGAAATTATTTCAAAATATTTCATGATTTTAGAAATGTGTAGATAATTAATAAGAATCCCAAATACGATGACCTAGTCATAGCTATTAGGTTATATGACTCAGCAACCTACTTCTTGAAACAAGAAAGATAACCAAAGGCTGGAAGTGGCTCAAATGAAATTCCTTAGATATCTTGGCTATACTAGATTCAATCAGCAAAGACTCAAGGAAATAAATAGAACAGAGAAAGTTAAAAAGAATCAGAAGGAATGGCTCACACATTAAAAGAATGAAAAAGAAGATTCCCAAACGCTGCTCTAAAATACAAACCACTAGGGCAGAGTGATACAAAGGGCCAAGAAAAAATGGATCAAGTACTTGAAAGATTAATAATATGCCTTTCAAGTCTGCTGTCCAGGAACACACCTCAAACCTTCTGTGCAGTAGGCTACATGACAATGATGATAGTTTAAGAACGTAATGAACATGGCAATATTAGAGGTCAAAGTTAGTTTGAGAGCACATGGAAATGACAATGAAGAAAGGAGTACAGAACACTGGTCATGTGGAGCAATTTTGAAATTTCTTAACAACTCTTTACTTTCTACAAATTTGTTATACAATTGAGATGTTCAGGATAATAACATCCAACCAACTTCACATTTTCATTTAGAAGTTGTCGGTAAAATCCTGCCAAGTGCGTATAGTATGCTGGAATATCAAATGAACTAGGATACAGCAAACTCCTCAAATTACACCTTCAAAAGTTTGTCCGGAATGAAAATGAACGTGAATGAAATGAGAAAAAGTATTTTCCCTCAAAACAAACTTCGATTGGGATGTACCAGTATTATTCTGAATGTTTCAATTGCTAGAATTTATAATGTCAAATTTCATATTAAAATAACAGTTTTTGGCTCAATCCTTTCAAATCTGTAACAAGGCCGGTCCGGATGGCCAAGATCGCTAAGGCAGTAGTGCCATAGCAATCTTGGACTGAAGGATTGCGGATTCGAGTCCCTCCTCAGGCATGGTTGTATTGTGTTCATCCTTTCACCCCCTACCATCATCATATCGTGTCATCCTCATAGTTACCATACCGTTACTTACAATAGTGGCTTCTGATGTCCTAGAAGGAGATGTGACCTTAAATAACATCAAAAAAACATCTGTAACAAGAACACCATTGATAAATATTTAAACATTGATTATTATTTAGTTGTTTTTTAATGCTTTCAAAGTTTGAAAGTGTGTTGTTGTTTAAAAGTTTATAGTATCTTTTACTTTCTTTATTCATTTTGTTTTTGTGAAGCCCTCACAGATTTAGTGCCACATCTTAATGTTTATGCATTAATCATGCACTGCTGATGAGATGTAATGCAGAGCAGAACTTCCATTTCTACTTTTCACAGATCCTAACAAGGTGTCTGCTCGAATGTTGATGGAACTTGTCCGTCAAATAATGGATCGTGTAGTAGGAAGTGTGTCATATGCACTTCCTGCTGCAAAACTTTGTATTACTATTATTGAGGTGAGTTAATGATTAATTTTGCTTTTTTGCAAAGAACTCAAAATGTTGATTCAGAGATACATAACTTATGACTGTTACAGAAAGAGAAGAAGGAAACATTTTTGGAATCTCTTCTGAACACTTGTCAACAATGGTATCATGAAAGAGAGCGTGTTCTACGATCTACTCCAAGTGGATCAAATCTACGTTATTGTGCTTTTATGCAGTTTCTTAATGAAATGTATTGTGAGGTAAGAAACAGTAATAGTGTCTCTTCAGCACCTGTATTCCTATCATATATTATATATGTTTCTTGTTTCAGTTAAAGAGGCGTCAATTACAACTGAAAACACAGTATGAAGGAGTACCACCAGGTTTAGTTCTTTTGACATTGCTATATAAATGTTGTCAGGATTGCCTCAAACCTCCAAGTACTCAGGGAGAAGTAAGTAGTTATGTTTCATTACAATTTTTCAGTAATTATGTTATTTTTGTTTCCTCTTCCTTACATTGAAGGTGGAAAAGCACAAGTTTTTTAAAGTTTCATGAAATACTGAATTTAATGGTTGCTTTTAAATTCATACACAAATAATAGAAAAACTATATTACTAATGAATATTTATCTTGGAAAAAGGAATATCAAAATCACAATTAGAATAATATTGAAGGTAGCAATGTACATAATACAATATTGATTTTATCCCCTTTCATATTTTATTTTCAAATTTTAATTGAAAAACCAGGTGTGGATGAAGGCCTATCAAACTTAAGCACATGTGTAAGTCCCCCACTAGATAGAGGAGTCCAAAATATTTTTAATCTAATTTTTATACTAGTGTGATTGAATATTAATTTTTATATTAGTCCATAAAAATATTACAATAGTATCAGTTTTCAATTCATATATTCTTATTTTGTGCAGACAGACAGTCTCTTCTTTGTCCTCACTTCAGTGGGCCGTGACTTGGAGCAGGAGCTGCCTGGGAAACTCCAGCAACTTCTAAGCAGCATTCGAGATGCGTTCCTCACCACAGGCTCAACACCCGCTGTCAAGAAGACATTGTTGCAGTTAATTGAATTGCATGCTTCTAAATGGCAGTTGCCTGCATCAGCTGTCATGTATTACACTACCAACCAATGATCTTAGAACATGAAAACTGATGTATTTTATCTTGACATTAGGTAAATAACATTGTCTTAGTACAATACTCATTTGATATGTATTTTATTTCACATAAAATACAAATCTAATGAGGTTTATTTTGAAAATAATATAAATGAAAATAACTACTGTTTAAACAATTGAACAGTAACATTATTTTCAATATGTGTTTCTTGCATATTTTTACCTCTTGAAAGAAGTGGTATTTTCAGTGCTGTATTGTAGATGTCTTCATCTGTTTATTTTATTTTATTTTGCAAGACAGGTTTCTGTATGGCAGACTGTTTTGTTTGAATGTTAAATATCTCATACAGTAACAATTTCATTTTTTTATTGTCCTATTAATAAAATGCATAAAAATTATTTGTTACTGGACCTGTCATGGTAGTGAGTGGATGATGAGAGAAATAAGTTACACATGTTGCAACATTTGTGTAACAAGTTGACTGATGGCTATTGTTCTATTTATAGTGTGTTTTTCTCAAAACATATAGTAATTTTTTCCAATCAGTATCATCCATCTTGTACTAATGTTTTCTGTTAAGGAATAACTCATTAAAATGTTTAACATGAGAGAGGGTATAAGCTATTGTCTTTATAGCAGTGAAGAATGATATTTCTCCCTCCTCTGAAGTTACATATAAAACACTCAGATGATTGGCAACAATTTTATAATGATGCAATTTGGAAATCACATTATTCAGGAAAGTTTCGTTTTATTTCTTAACATTATGAAATTTTAAAATAATGACAAGACTGTGGTTTATGTGCCAAAACACTGAAGAGAAATCTCCTGAAACCAAAAATTAGCAGTAAATATCGTATTTTGTGTAATATTTCTTTTGATTTCCATGTTAACTTATAACTAAAACAAATAGGTGTGAATTGTGTTCACCTTGCAATAAAATGTCCCGTGTCTACTTTTTCCCTTAGTTTAAATTTTTTAATTTTTATTCATTCCTGGCCAGTTGGAGCTAAAGTGCCTTGAGTAGAAACACTCAGTTTTAGGTGTGGCATTTTGTAATTAAACATTGTTTCATTACTGGTACATAGACTTCGTATCAGATTTTGTATGCAAATATCTAGTCTTGACCTAATAATTATTCTGCACTACTTTGTTAATTTAGACTATTGCTTTTGTATATCCCAAGTTTTTATTTAGAACAATTAATATTTATAAAACTGTAAATTGTAACAAATGTGTAAGATAATTTGGTGGTCAAAGTGCCTTAATGTTTTTTGAGCAAATTGTAATAATTATTAATAATAATAATGAAAAATGCATGATGTGCATTTTATGACTAAAAAGCATTATACCAAATAAATACTTGTTCTTGCTAGACCATATGGCATGCAGTGTTAGATTTCAGGTGCAAGCTTATGTTACTTGTTTATAGAAACTCATCATTTTTGTGCCAAACCATATCGACTCTGTTATTGAATTGTATAATTTTAATACACGTTCATTGGCTAGCTTTAACGAGATACTTACAGATATCACATGTCATTAAGAGATACAAAAATGGTATGTGTTGGTATAAGTAGACACATTTCAACCATAAACACTTTATGTTTATTTTTATGGGATCATTAAATATATTTAAAAATATATACATATTATATAGCTCTAATGGTTGAAAAAGTGTTGAGAGTGGGTACTCGAAAATTCAGAAAAAAAATTGAGAAAAAATAAAGGGAATCTATAAAAACACTGAAAAGTTTAATTTTTTAACTGTGTAACCTTTGTCTGTTTGGTTTCTTAGCCCTCTCTGGTAGCTAACATTATGACCTGCTATTTGCTTGATTCCAAAATGGTGGCATAGGGTCTATAGGAGTTTCTCAAATTACATCTCAGCTTAAATAATTTTAACCTGACACTGTCATTGTCAATGTCAATGTCAAGTTTCCTGAAAGACAGGTTTGTATTTCTCATGAGCCAATTTTCCCTCCTTGAAGTTCAATGAGAATTTTCATTTTAATTCATTTTACTAAGAGAGAGAGTCCCTTGCCAAACTATGACTTTGTCAGTGCTCTTTGTTCATCTCTACACTCTTTTATTTCTGTCGAGAACAAATAAGATGTGGAGTACTGAACAACTACTTACATTGTTTGATTGCTTTTTGAAAATTAAAGACTAATGAAGAGACATTTTTTGTCAACATGAACATTTTTTGATCTCTTCATAAAAAATGGAAATACAAGATATCTCTTTCAATAGTTTGCAATAATTTTTTCAAAAGTACAAGTTAGCTTCCACGGCTCAAGTTCATGACTTCTTGGCTGTCCAGGTGACACTGCATCATTGGCTGACAGGCCAAAGTTTCCCCTGTCATATTGCAGGCTTCCTCAGGGTAGTGACACAGGGAAAGATCAGTATAAGTACATTGGAAGCTATCCAATTAATGTGTTGACTACAGAACTATGACTGATTTAAAGGCCCATTAGAATTTCAGCCCTGTTAAAAAGAAGGCCTCCTGTGGCAGTTTGCTTCCAGGTTTCTTTTGTTTAAAAAAAAATATATTTGTTCTACATGAGCATCATAGGAAGGAAAAATATCTGCATTCTTAGTGAAACATTACTTCCATTCTATCTACTAGAAAACAAAAATGTTTTTAAAACATATTGTATTCAACATTGTGCACACAAGTAAACATTCCCAAGGAATTATGTTATATTAAGAGGTTGCTAAATGCAGTCCAAACTTGATAAGCGAACCCAAGCAGCTTGGGATTGCAGCACCAAAAATTAGTTACCTAGGGCGTTGAACATTCACATTCAAATCCACTTGATGTAAATATTCTTATACAGGTGCAGATCCAGGGGGAAATGAGAAATGTTTCCCACCCTAAAATTTTACAGTAATTATTAATTTTAACTTCACATGAAACTTTCAAGTGAAAATATTTTCAGATAAGCAGTAATCATATCGCAGCATAAGTTGAGTGTAGCTTGTGACAGTTCACAAAAACTGTAATGACACATTCGACCAAAACATTATTAATTTCCCCTCCCAAAATTTGTCTCTCGATCTGCTTATCATATATCATACCAAGGATTACAATACCAGATTGAGCTCACATTGCCCATTAGTACTGGAGAAGGTCCTATGCATGCAACATTGCAGCAAAATCTGCATATTCACTCAAGAAAAAAGAAGTGATTCACAGTCTTCACTCTATTCGTATTATGACCTGAATTTAAGAAACTAAGCATCCTGGCACAGTTTCAGAATGTATTGTAGAGTACAAGACACTGAAATTAACTGCAGAAGTGACATTTTTTATTAATTCTTTCAAATACTATGTTCTCTGTATAGAACATCATTTTCAGCATCCATTTTATTAGCTCTAACAGTCATAGAGTACACCAGTCATGCTGCCCTCTATAGGGAAACAGTTTTTGTAGTTCTTAAGACAGGGGAGCTATTTCGGAACTCTGAGGCATTAGGTAAACATAAACTATTTGCGTTTGGAAGCAAAGCAGGGTGCTGTTGTCTCTTAAGAATGTTTTTGCTCTTATTTTTTGGTGACTTACACAAGTATGCATTATAATTTTCCATGTTAATTTTACTTGTAAGAATTGGACAACAAATTCAGTATTTTAGGAAATGTTGTGTATTTATCTGTCCATTAGACAGGAAGTCTAGAAGGATCAATTTCAAACTAATACTGTGGTTTTTACAAATGAATTATTGATGTAGATTATTCATAAACAATCGAGTTCAGTGAAGGTGGTGAGAACTAACATGAAGACCAGCTAACTCTGTGTATTTGAGCTTCAATTATGATGGTACGAGAAACATGAGAAAAAAGCCTTCATAGAGGTGTCACAGCCTGAAGTAGTGCAGCACAACAAGGACTGTTTGGGAGGGGTCAAACAATAGTTTTAATAGTTTTCTTGATTTCCTCCATAGAACATTTGTAAAATCGTGGATATTGAACTTTAGATTGATTACACACGTGGTCTTGATCCTGCAGTTACACATTCATGACTAAACTACAAACTTAAGACAGAACTAGATCTGCCAATGGAAATACTAATTAACCATAGATTCATTTCATTTTCAGCATTGGGCTGCTAACGTCATATCTAGGCTAGAAAAACTGAAATCAAAAAATTGATTACACCCTTCCACAACTTACTCAGAAATTTTAACGAAAATGCCTGTCTGTCAACATGAAGGCATGCCGCTTGAGGAATTCTGCTTCAAATGTATTGTTCGTTTACTCAAATTACTCATATTTGATTATGTAAAGAAGGCAGGTAGATGCAAAAACATTGGTTGTAAAGCCCAAACTTCTATGAAATATACAAAATGTAATTCACTATTACCCATTGCTTGCAAAAACTGTTGCTTCAAAGAATTTCACGTAAAATATTCCCTGCACTTTAAATTGCTTAATAAAATAAGCATAAACATTTAAAAAGTTTATACTTACACACACACAAATGTTTTTGTTTAAATAATAAATAAATTTAGTTTATTAAATTTTTTTTATCGTTCCCTTTGAATCATTATGTCCTCTCCACAGGACGGTTTGTGTTTTAGCATTCAAGTATCATACATTAATTGTAAGAGCATGAAAAGTAAGTAAAAATATAATTTATTGAATTACCAAAACCCAGAAATTTCCTGTACAGTTTTCACATTTTGTTTAAAACATTGTAATTTTCACAAGAAAAGTGAAGTATTAGTAAGTTGAGAGTTGATATATATTGCACACAAAATTTTAAAATATTACGCAACCATCACAATTAATATGTGACAGCAGTAGCACCACTAGTCCTTTCCTCTCTCTCCCTCTCTTAATGAATAATAATATATAATAGTAATAAATAATGTTGATTCTTGTGATAAAGACAATGTCTTAAAGAGTTAGTTTTCTGAAAATGGGTTATTTTTTGCATTGGGAAGATTTTATGTTTCAATTGTCCCACAATCTGGCAAACCACCATTATCTTCAGTATTGAGGTTGGAGATGGGATAGAAAAAACAATTTTATCCCAAGATATGAATTTTTTTCTGTAACTATTAAAACATCTTATGATCTCCCATATTCCCAAATTATCATACACGTTATCATTATCATCAATTATCATAATAAAAAGGTATCTATCTCACCAGCGATCTAATTAATATCATACAAGTGGTTCCCAATTAGATTTGTATATAATAAATTTGGTTCATAAAAATTGTGCTTTGTACAAGATGATTATTTTGATTTAAATTTCTTGAGGTTGTTGTTGAAATAAAGAACATTTTTCCACTTTTCTCTGCTGGAATGAAAGGAAACTGGGTAATTTAAGTGTAGTGTCTGTGCTGACATTCAACAGCATTGTGCATACATTTCTTCTTAGTTTCACTAAATGCTTTCCATAACTGAATTTAAATTTTTTGTGACATCTACACAATGTAGAAAATAAATATTTAAATACAAATATTTTTTTTAATTAAAATTAAAAGAGAATTAGAAGTATTTGCTAAACTATAAAATTTGCATTTAGTGAATAAGATGATCCTAGTTATTACTCTGAATCATAATGTAACATCAATCATTGATATTATTCTGAATATAATTTGACAATATTTGCCTCAAAATATTTATCCTTCCCATTTAATACTAGTTTTGTGCATAAAACCTCTATTACAATTAGCCTAGGTACTGAGTTTGAAGAGACCAGAAATGTGTTACAGGAAAATGAACATATGTACATTGTTTATTTCACATTTGCAAAATTAATATTCGTTCCAGGTTTTGTGCAAAGAAAATGGTTAAAGAATTTGATTACCTGTAAAGGAGTTAAGGAATTTTCAGAATGTTTAGATTGGTTGTCTTTCCAAAGCAAATGCAACATTTTATGATAGAATTGTTTATTTCACAATGGATAAAAGCAAACAAAAAAATGTGCTGCCAATCAGTTTAGTCTAGTATCACAGTATCAAAAGAAGACATCTGGAGTTTTGGTCTTATGTTTAAAAATATATTTTCACACTTATATTGATATACTTTTAACAAAACATTCTACTACAATAAATAAATGATTATACAAAATTATAGGCACAATATAATCATTTGATGACTGTTACTCCCAATTTATAAATCAATTGAATAAATATTCTTGAGACAAATGGACATTTCATACTTTCTGTAAATATGAATCCTGGTATTCTTTTGTTTCTACTGATGAAGCAGGAATGAATAAAAAGTGTGAATAATCAACTAAAAGAAAGAAATTTCATCTGCCATTTGTTCGCATCTGTAGACAAAAGTACAGTATTCAACACAATTCTTATTTACACTCAATCCAACACTGTATTATACATTTTATGATCAACCTCAAAAAGCACAAATCACAGAATTATTATTCCTCTCACATTTTCTCTCTTTTGATATTTGTGTTTTACACATCAGAGCCACTGAGAACATAGTCTCATAATCTCAAGAAAAACATGCTCAATACTGATTAAGTAGAATATCTAATTATCCTTACACTTGTGACTCAAAAGTGACATTCACTATATTTCAACTGTAAACTTTCCAGTTTTTTCCTCACCAACAAATACACTCTTGAACCTGACATTATTACATAGATCTTGAATACAAATACAAATTTTAATAAAATTAGACATGACAAAGTTACTTCCTATTCACTTAACTATTCTAGGATACTTGTGACTTTTAAATTTCCAAAATATTCCTTTAAATAGGCTTGGCCTCTCGCAAAATAACTTGCCTCTATTTCATTGTGTAACAGTCTCACAATGCTTTATTTTAAAAACTCCCAGAACGCTTTATTGTTACAAAAGCTTTGGAAGTAAAAATATGTTGAAGAAATACATCATTTTACCATAATATATAGCGCTACACTGAAATCTAATTAATAGAAAACTGACGGAGAGGCAGAGGTTATGTATGATTGTTTTCTACATAAGAAAGAAAAATTAAGAGGATATGGAAGACAAGCTAAGAGGAGGAAATATTTCTTAGAATACATGAAGCCATTAATTCTAGCCAAATTACTCATCATACATCCTCTCCTCTCCCTCTTTGAACTTAAAATACTACTGTTTTGCTTCATGTAACTTGTAACTATTAAATAAAAGTTTTTTTTTAATCCCATAATTTCAGTGAGCTCCTTCCATAAATTTCAGGTTTCAATATATAGCAGAAAATTATTTCATGATATGTTATTTTAGGGAAATTATCTTTAATGAGATTGATACAACATTTTATTAAGAAACATAGTAGTTTAGAGAAGTACAATATTACATCCACAATGGTGAAAAAACATATTTAACGAGGGAAAAAGGCATACATATTTGATTAAATTCTTTAAAATATTTTATTAAGAATTGATACTTGTATATTAATTTGAGCCTAAAAACACAGGAAAATACCAAACAAATTAGACCCATTTTCCTAAACAAATGTGGTAGTAATATAGGGCTCTTCTATGTCAAGTGAATTTAGGTGACCAAAAGCACTTGTAATTTCAAAGGTATGGAAAGGAAAAATAATGCAAACAACTTGAAATTTCAATGACATTAACGTCACCATTACAAAAAGGCTAATGTATTTAAAATAATTTTTAGACATCAGAAACCCCGAAAATTCATATAAAAATCAGAAGTATTTTTAATATTTTTAGATTTGCTCAACTCTTAGACATTTAGAAACTTAAACAAAAAATGGTCTGTAACCCTTTCAGAAGAGAGAAAGTATGTGAGGAATCATTCGAACAGTATTCTACAAAAGCTTATTACAATTTTAAAAAGATCACTTAAAAAGTATTTACATTATAATAATATACATTATACACATATCTTGTCATATGATCAAATAACAGAAGTATTTCAACATAAATATAACATGTGAGAAATAATGTTCTTTGAAGGTACTTGATAGTTTGTGTAATTTTGGTATAAGGAATAGTCATTGCCCAATGTACAGAAAAGCTGCAGAAATATTAAATAATGTTTCCTGTTTCTAACATCCTATTTGCCATTCTTCAGAAGCAGCTGTCATTGAGCTTGAGGAGTGTATGTGAAAAGAACCAGCATCACCCATAAATGCAACAACACCTGCAAAAATTCATAAACAATTATTATTTCTATTTTTTAATTAGAATTTATTGAACAAGTTTTTAGGGAGGGAAAACTACCAAGGATTTACCAAAAACATGGATAATACTTGTTCCTATAATTAGTAAGTTTCCTCTAACATGTGAAATCAGGTTCCTCCAACATGGTATGAATTCATGTTTTGTGAGTTCTTGATGCAGAAAAAATGACTAAACATTTATTCATCTTTAAAAACACTAGCAATTAAACTGTAGGGAGGATTTTCAACAAAATTGATATCTGTTGATCAATATTCCTTATGTTATGGTCCGTTGAATTTGAAAACCATATCTAGATTTTGGGGGGTACTTCACATGAAGCCACAAGAACACTTTAATTAAATTTAAAATTAATTTTTTTCAAAAATTGCTGCAGATTTTTTCTTTAACTTTTTTGTCTCAGATACCAAAAATGACAAAGGCTCGATTTTTTATTGAATTCTCTGACTTTTTGAAACTTGCAAAACTTAAAAATTTGTTCAATCTTTCTACAACTACAATATGGCAAACAGGGAATTCCTCTTCAAAGAAATTTGTTCTTTGGAATTAGATCATGACCAATTTTACCAAATATGACAATTTTCAAAAATAAAAAGAAGATGTATCCTCAAAAATAGCACTGGTCAAATTTTCTTTAAACATTCTGAATTTTCGAAATTCACAAAAGTTTAAAATTGCTTCAGCATTCAACTAAAATGTTGTAGATATTTCCTTAATGAAATCAGTTCTTTAAAATTAAATATTAAAAAATATCAAACTTTTGATCTGAAAATGTGAATAGTTTTTGTTTAATTTTGATTGAACCTTATAAATAATGCATGAAATTATTATGGATAAATGAATATTTTCTATAAACAAATATCCTCAATTTTACAATTCTTCTTATTTGTATAAAATTTTGTATTAATTACTGCATTTTAAATTTTTAAATGAATTGTAATTTTTAACTCATGGCAGATGAATATTGTAAATATTCCAAATGTTTTTGGCCCTTGGAGTTTATGAAGATTTATTGCTAGTTTAGTAGTCAATGATACAATAAACACAACTGTTGTCTGTTAACCATATAATATATTATATTATTAATACTCAAAGGAATTAACAAATCATATACTTACCATGTAACAGAGGACAAGAATGCGAGCCAATGGATAACGTCGTAGGAACACTCCCGTGCGAATGCTCACAGCATCCAGAGACGAATAAGCTCGTTTCACTCTTCGGGTCATGCCTGTATCAAATGGAGTCTCAACAAAGAATCGTGGAATTTGAGCTTTGGCTGTAAAAATTGTGTAAATTATCAGTTTTCTTCAAAATATCTATATACTGAATTAAAATTCTATCTAACAGAAACTTACCATCATCAGTATCATTTACATTGATTACACCAGCTTGTCTCTGCTGAAGAAGTGTCATCATTTCTTCATTTTTACGCTGCAATTCATAACAGTTTTGAAATTGAAATATCATTTAGGTCACCATATTACCTAGATGAAAGGATAACACTCTTACTACACACTTATTATTAACCTTCACATTTTTAACAGACAGATTTACATACATAATTAACACATGAGATGGGGATGGATTCTCTATCAAGAAATTTCATTCCATGTTGGACAGAACCTGATGCAGAAGGTGTACACATTTTATCTGTGATCCTAGAACATTCAACATGTAGTATCAGCATTAACAAATATAACTATCAATGGAAGACCATATTTAAGGGGTTTTATAACAATTATGACAAAAATTGTGAGATTCTAAATGTTGTATTGAGATTATGGTAGTATGATTTATAAACAAATGTATTTATTGTATTGTAATTGTTTTAGCCTGAACACAAGTAAAATTTGTACTTGAAATGAAGCAATTTTGTACTTTTGAGGACAATAGGTGACCAAATAAAATGTTTTACAGTTTTAAAGTGTTTAAGTATGAATTTGTTAATTAAACATGTAAATCTATCTGTCAAAACAGTGAAGACCAATAATAAATGTGAAATAATATTGAATGACAAACAAAAATAAACATATTAAGTTATACACTCACCTCCATTTTTTCTAACTGTAATCTCAAAGCATTCTTTTCGGTTGTAACAGTTTCCAGTGTATTCTGCTTATGAACCAATGTCTGTGTCAGTGTGTGCAGTCTGGATTCCAATTCATCATCTGTGGGAGAAGTAGGTCGCTGTGCCAACTGAGTGCGCAATCGTGTAAGCTCTAACTCCCGTTCACGTACACGAGTAGCTAATAGGGTTCTTTGCCTTGAGAGTTCATCTTGCACTGACCTCAGTTCCTACAAACAAATTGTTAAAAAGAAGTTATCCAATTATTTCTTAATGAGCACTTACTAATCATTTTGGAGTTGTTTGTAATCTGGGGATTGACACCAATGTTTCAAAGTAATATCAAATCTTGATTAACAAAGCTTTATGCTGTTTTATACTGCTTCAAATATTACACATGCAATATGGAGAAAGTTATGTAACACTGTAGCAAATTGTTTTGATTTATCAAAAGAAAAATTCATATTGAAAAGTTGGATAATTATTATTGCTATAAGTAGTAAATAACTTCCTGTAGCATGCTACCAAAAAAATTGGTTTATGGCAAAACATCTATCCATGTGTGAATAACACTAGAAACTAAAGCTGTAACATATAACTAAACTAGGCAGTATTTTCACTAAAAATTGATATTCCCCCACTGATCAGGCTGATGTCACAGCCCATTGAATTTAAAATTGATGTTTGGGGTACTTTACGTTTAGCCTCAACAACATTTTCAAAATTTTCTCATAAATGGCACCAACTTTTTTACTCAGATAGAGCGAAGTGTGCCTGTGAAAATGGTGCAAATCTGAATTTCATTTAATTCTTTGTATTTTCAAAAATGGCTTAAGTTTAAAATTTGTAGGGCATCTTCTTTGGATTACAATATTGCAAACATGTTTTTTCTTAATAAAATTTGTTCTTTAAATAAGGTTACGCATGATATTCTGTAAATACAAGTAATTTTCATTAAATAAAAGCAATTTTCAGAACAAGATATTCCCAAAAACCACTCCACATATTTTTATTCTTTAAATTTGTTGCTCAGATAATGTGAAGAAATTTTCTTATAAAAATGACACAGTTTGACATTAATGTCCAAGTGAAAAAACCTGGTGCACCTTGTGACAACAATGTTAAAAAACTATACATAAAATATTATTACTATTTTCTGCAGCAAAATTTTTTTTTGCAATCGTTGTGTTCAACTTGAGCCAGATTTGACATATAAGCAATACATTAATTCACGCTGTTCCATCCGGGCCCTCAAGGGTAAGGGCACTCAGCCTGCACGCTAGTTGAGAAGGGATTGTATCCTATTACATCTGATTGAATGAAATTCAAAGAAGGAAGCGTGCTCACTTTGTTGGGCAAGATCTAACATTAGTTGTAAAGAAAATGAGATGATAAATCTTGTGCTTTCTGTTAAACCTGGAAGTTTCTTCCTGAACCTGTATCCCTCTCGCAGCTGATCAACTTACACCACTAGAGTGAGATTTCACTAACACTGAAAGCACAGACCAGAAGTGATGGTGCAATGACAGAGCCTTTCCATGCCTTATGGTGGCTCATAGAAGATAAGTTGGATCAGCCTCTGTTAAGTAATAGTACGAAGAAAGAAAGTAGTGTTCTTAAGCAATTATGATTTGAGTCATGATAACCAATTTTTTTCTTACAATAGATTTTAATTACAGTGAAACCTACCTGGAAAACAATCCCCCTCAAAAGGTTTTTCTTGGCATGGACACTAATTCTCATAGTGTATATAAATCACACCCCTATTCTCAAACCACCACCACCACACTCCCCAACCACTGACCAGCCCCTTAATAGCAATTTTCTTAATTTACCCCCGTTCAGAGACCATTTTAAAGACAATTTTAAGCATACATTGCAAAGGATTTTCAGAAGGTTAAATGAAAACCAACATTGTCAAAAGCATTCTTGTGACATTTCCTGTCAGCAGGGGGATTTTCAAGATTCATGTATTAATGTACTTGACTTTTGTTATGATACCATGGCTATTCAATCCAATTCAGTTTCATTTCTTCTAATGTGACCGTGGATGAATGCAGCCTAATGTTAATTCTTTGAATTCACAAGACCCTTCTTACCTTACTGGAAGAACTTCCAGTACTGTAGAATATCAACTTCAGAAATGAAAGTTATTGACTTGCTCCAAAAGAAAGAGTAAATACTACTAAACAAGTGTTTACATCAAAAAAAGCAAACAAAAAACTTTGTCAAAATGCTTCAATTTACACTAAGGATACACATATACTACATAAGAAAGTCTGTATTGTATTGCAATGAGCAAATTTGAAGTATAGTGAACAAAACGGCAAAAACCAGATAAAAAAACCAAATCATTCAGCATACTTCTCCATGAGATTTGCAGTCCTCCTCTGCAGCTTGGCGCCTTTTCCTCTCTTCTGCCAATTTCTCCTGAAGCTTGAGCTGTGTGTCTGCTGCCTGTTCTCGGCATGTCTCCAGTCGTTTCTCAGCCTCTAGCAGTTCATCCCTAACTGCCTGCAGTCGTGCAGTAGTTTGCGCAGTCTCTTCGCGTAAAAGTTCACGTTCTTGTCGAAGTTGCTGCAGTTCCAAAACTATCGTGTCATCCTGTCCATCTTGTGCATTTTGGCCTAGGATAAGTGCAGAATATCTTACAAACATGTTTCAGCAGAAAAATCTAAATATAAATTTTCTATGTGGAAGTTAACCAGGGGCAACTAAATAGTTAGAGATGATATCCCTGTGATAAGGGTGTGTACAAACAGAAACAGCAGGCAAGTGCAACAGATTTGCCTGCAGGACAAAGTGGTGGACAGATAAGTGACCATTGGCAACAAGACACTAGGCAACACAGCACTTGGCAGAACTTGTTAATGTTGCAGCATTATGAATGATACATAAACTAAACAGTAATCTTCCACTCTCACATTAACACAACCACTCACGGGAAGAGTAATATTTGCATGAATACTTATTGTTTTCAGAAGCTGATGCCGTTAAAATCAATGATGAGCTTTATTTTCAAGATTTGATATAAGACGAGATACAATTTTATGTATATGCTACTACTTATTCAAAAACTACTCTGCAGTCATGGACACAATATCTGCAGATTTCTGATTAGAATTATTTCACTTCAATTGTAATAGCTAAAATATCAATTCTATTGTACAACACATTTATGAAACTTTTGTTGAAATTTGTCCCAATGAAGCATTCCGTGTTATTCCAATCTCCTGTAAATAATTATATCTATATTTGTGTCTACTTGCTTTTGCTGTTTTTTGTCTCGGGAGAATAAAATCAAAAGTAGTTTCTTTTCACAATTTGGTATGTTTATACCTTCTCAGTTTGTATACTGTTATTACAATCGATTACACTTTAAGCAGGATATCTTTAAATTCCACTATATTTGAAAAAGACGTTGTCAATTATCATATTCATGAAATGTTTCTTCAATTATAAAGAAATTTTTAAAAAATATTTCCAGCTTAAAGAATAATTGATTGTCTCTAACTTAAAGGAAACTTCTCATTCTTACTATATTATTTGGTAATTATATCTGGAAGAAAATATTTGAAAATATTTGATATTTTTCTCCCCTCCCCTGAGAAACCATTGTGTTTTGCCAGGACAACTACCTTTCAATATCATGTCTTATTACAGAAAGACCCAGGTTAATGGCAATTATAGAATCTGGACCCTTAAGTTTCCATTAAAAAAAAAGAAAGGAGAGAGAAACCAATTCATTACAAACCTTCTCCGCGCAACTCATTGATAAGCTTCTCCTTGTCTTGCAGTATGCGCTGAGCTCGAAGTCGGTACTGATCCAGTTCTTCTCGAGATGCTTGTGCTTCTGATCGTGCTCTTTCCAGTTGTTGCTGTAAAGAGGCTGTTGTGTTATCTCTCTGAGACAACTGTTGTTTAACTTCCAAAAACTTTTGCTCATAATTTTGAAGTTCTTCCTTCATTTTCTCAATTCTGCAAAGACAAAATCATATTTAATGATCAAAATTAACTAACCATTACTTTACAACAGCTCTTTAAAAATAAGAAATTTACCAAAATTTCAAATTTTAACTCACCGGCTTTCCATTGTAGTTATTTCCTGTTTATGTTTACTTTTTATTTTCTCCATTTCTTCCTGCAGAGCTTTGTCTGCTTCTTTGCCAGATTTGTTGTCGTTTGACTGCACGAGTCTACAACAAACAGATCAGAACCTTAAAAAAGCCTCTATCAGAGTAAAATTCATTACATGAAGGGCTGAGCGACAACCAACACAAGGTAGAAAGTTAACCCGTACCAACCACAGCAAGCCTCTGCTGGTTGTCTTATACCTTGATTTCGGTTGAAGTGTGTCTGAACTTGTCTCTGCCCCAGACCCTTCAGAAAAACCAACAAGATAAATATAGTACAAACTTTCACCAAACTTAAGATATTAATATTTAAAAATGGCACGGGGCTTTCTGTAGTTTATCTTGATACTGCCACCAAATCTTCATATATTTAATAATGAATAACACATAATGGTCTGGGAACCGCAGAATTTGAAATCAGGTAGTGTAATAGAGAAACTCCTCTATCAAGATCTTTGCTCTGACAAAAATGTACTAATGAAGATGAAGAAGAAAATAAGCAGAAAAAAAGAAAGGAAAAAAGAGAAGAGAAAGAAAAAAAGAATAAAATATTACAAACATATCACTTACATGCTGCCATAAAATGAAGATCTCAAAATCTTTAAAAAACTTTTTGAAAACAAAAGCAGATGAAGATTCATTAACATATCTAAATTCATCCAACTTCTAACAAAGGATAAATTGCATAAAACTTCCCTCAAATCTAACAGAGTACAATTAATACAATATGTATTTTAAACTCCCAAAGATACTTTCTCTGAAATACAGATTTTGCTTTTCTCTATGCACTTATTGGTCAAATCTAACAATAAATATTCTGAAAGGTCATAATTTACATCATAATGGTGAATATCTTTTATCATTTTGAAGGTTTAAGAAAAATGAAGTCTTAGACTCTTGTATGTTGAGTACAGAAATATTTTTGATATTGGAGAAAGATGGAGACACTTATGCATCAAACAAAGAGTATGTTCAGCAATTTGACCAGAACTTACTTTTCATTTTCAACTTGCAGCGACCGCAATTTCTCCTGAAATGCAATTGACTGTTGTCGAGCTGTCAGAAGTTCTTGTTCTAACTGATTCACCAGATCTGCTCGTTCCTGGAGTTGAGAAAGCAACACTTGCTGGTTTTGACATTCTAAAATTAAGAAAACACACAACAGAATACAATCAACATACACCAATATAGACATGTTTAACAATGGAGTAATATCTACATCTTCTTCTACTTTTGTTGAGGTCATTAAAAAAAAGATATTTAATTGTGCAACACATAAATTGAGGGTTATTCTTAATAACAACAAACTTACCTCTCTCTGCACTCTTTGCTCGCTGGAGAAGCAAGGACATTTCATTGTTGAGAGTGCGCAGTTCATTTCTCAACATTTCATTTTCTGTGTTGATGTCAGACACATGATTACTTGCTATTATACCATTTGGTTTATCTGTTGTGACAATAGCTGTAGGTTGTACTGAATTCATAGGTACAGTATCAGATATAATTTCCTGGGGAGATGATCTTCTTGAAGAAGATCGGGAACTTTCTGAATTTACAAGATTTAATGGCTTTTCATTCAGGGTTTCAAATTTAACAGGTACGAATGTGTGACCGTCTGTTTCACTGTGCATGTTTACTTCAGGTTGTAAAGACTGTGGCATCTGTAACAAAACAACCATACTCAGATTACAATATAAGTGAAGTTTGTATCACATCATTTTTGGAACATCGGTGAATCAAACATTCTTGCACACTTTTTCACATACCTGAGTAGTAACTTCAACTTTAGGTATAGGTTCAGAGCTATTGAGAAAACTTATAAGTTCTTCATCGTTTTGCTTCTTTGGTGTGGAGCGAGCAGGACTCAGATTATTCAAGTTAGGAGTGGATCTAACAGTTGGAATTGTAGCAGGAGTTACAGGAGACCAATTATTTGTTGATTTACTTAGAATATCTCTGAGAAAAAAGTTAAATGTCAAAATCATGTCAAGGTAAATAATGTCAATGACAGCTACATCAACAGTGTCCATAGAAATATCAGATGTTACCTGTTAGGTGTTTGGCTTTCCCAGGTTACTTCTGTTAGTAGCGTTTCCTTTGAACTAGATATTTTCTTGTCACCCTGAAGGGCGACAGCGGCATTTTGGTCTATTTGATTGAGGAAGTCTTCAGCTTTCCCCGCCAGTCCTTTAAGCCACGCCATCTCTTAACAAACGTATGTTTGTACACTTCACATGCAAATCCCAAAGCGTCATGAATGTGCGAGTCACTCTAGTACACGTCATTAACCTAGCACCTCAAACACTTATTTCATGAAAATTCGCACGAACTTAAAACAGCCCAGAACAGTTGGATTGACACGACATGGTCATCTTTGTTTCAGAAGCACAATCCTAACTCGAGAACAGTACTCACATTTATCGTTTTTCGTACAGTTCGCACACAATGAAAGAATTGAATTTAAACTTTTAATTCTACAACAATACAAAGAAAATACTATGTGCCCATTAAGAGAGATTCAACGACCTAATCACCAAAGATATTGTATGACACTAATGAATTTCGTTATAGAAAATTCAATTTCCACTCTTTCCATAGCTATGTTGTGCAGTCTGTATTTGCATATTAGATTTCTTCAATGGCACAAAAAAACATTCCATTAACACCAAACGATTGTAACATTGCAAGCATTGGATCTTACCCTCTGACACGTAGACCATACTTGACCGTGACGCTCTCTATAAACACAAATCGAGGAGTACGACAAATTTCGCGTATTTTGTTTTCACATTTTGTACGAAAAGAGTAATTTAAAGATTTGATTATGACTAACATCAACCGTAATTCGCGTCAGAGAATTCTTTTTATCTTCTCAGTTATATCATTTTATGAAGAGAAGACGACACACGTTTGGTTAGGTTACCCACAAAACAGCGCTCCAAGCTCCGCCTCCTGGTGAAACGTCACACGACACGAGCTGCTCGGAGAGGTAGTACACGAAAACAGGCGATCTCGCGGGATTCGTGCAGCGGACGCGGTGTAGTTATGTGGAGAAAGAGGCGGCTATTTCGCATCACCATGCTGAGCACCTTCGCACTTGTCGTTATTTACTACTCGACGACGCAACTCAGCACACTGAGATATCGGACTAGACGTAAGGTAAGCAGGTGCAATTTATTTTTAAAACAGAATTTGACTTTAAGTTCCAATTTACTCGAATGTCAGTGCTAGATGATTAAATAGCTCACGGATGGGTTTACAAGAACACTGGTGAACTTTTTCGTGTGAGTTGATGGGTGAACTTGCGAATCAATTGTTTTTCGTGCCATTTTGACATTTCGTTCCTCTTTGGCTTCGAAGGTACTCAGTTCTCCCGTAATAGCCGAACTTTTCATTCATTATTGACTGACCGATGCAAAGTGCGCATCCTCATGCTCGAGCGTATGTGAACCACGTGTGCGTAGAATCTGTCACAACCATCTCTCGTATGTGACACCACTTATGAAAGGCTGAAACGATTACATGTTAATTGTTAGTATAATGTTGCCCTAGAGTACATTGTGTCACTTTTGTCTGGTAACCTCTGTCGGGTTATCATTACTTTCGAGGAAGAATGCGAATCTTATCATTGCTTGGAAGAAAAATAGGTCGTAAGATATGGATTTTTATGTTATTTATAAAATTAGATGTCTTTAATTTTGTTTGTTTGTTAGGAACTTGGTTGAAAGTTTTATCAAATAGGTACACAAAATTTGTTTGTCCACAAAAATTTGTGAATGTGTAATTCTTTTCAATGTTTCTTTTGAGATCTGTAAGTGTGAGTCTGAGTATGCTGTTGCTGAGGTAACTTTTCTCATTTAAAAAAAACAACAACAACAACAACAACAAACAAACGAAAAACAATCTACTATAGAGATTCAGGTCCGGATGAAACTTAATCGTCACATTTGTTGAATGTTACTCGGGATGATTCAACTTTGCGAATGATTCCAGCAGTTTGCCTTGGTGTATTTTGTGACACATTTTCGCCTTCGCTTTTACGAGGTATATTTTACTATGAAAATATGTCAAGAAAGATTAACAGCGTCTTAGGAGCACCCTAAGGAAGACAGGACTGGAAGGAATAATTATAACCCAAACGTTTTTGATAATTTTATGATATAAAAATACAACAAAAAAATATTTCTAATGTAATTTAATTACAAAAATATTTAGTCTTTTTCTCCAACTTTAATAATTAATATTGGGTTTAATACTTAAATATGATCTGATGTTCATTTTACCATTAATATCGTGAAGTAATAACGCACGAACACAAACATTTTATTAGGTTGTTCAGCAAAATGATTTTGAACTTCCGTCTTTATGCTTTGCGTCGCGATGAACATAGTCGAAAACATTGGCTAGTGTTTTATGCAGAAGCTTTCGTAGCCTTGAAATGCCGGGCTCCTGTTCTATTTGTCATATGTTCGATTTTTCAGTGATAATTTGATGTGTCAACACATTCGCTCCGTAACTTTCTACCGTTTGTACCGACGACGCCCGCAAAAAGTAACAGTGAAAAAGAAAGGATAAAGATATTCAACTTTTTTTTTTTTTTCAAATAGATCGCCGCGTGTATCAAATACCAAATTTTCTACTAGTTGTTGCATCCATTTCTGCGATTAAGCATTCAGAAACAGAAGTTTAGGAGAGATCGATGTGCACTTCCGGGTTTTGAGGTCGATTACCTGGCGTGTCAGACGCCGTCTCTTCTGCCACTTCGCATCCCCAGAGTCTGTACACTTTCCCCGCCTGTCAGCCAGTCTGCCTCTTCATCACAATGTTCCCGATGACACTTGACATCGGGATGACGCTTATTTCTCAGAAAATCGGGCAGATTTTCGGGAGTCACCAGGTTTTCGAAAACATCGCAAGGTGCTGAACGTGTTGTGCAATAACTTCATATTCAGGAGCGTCAGATTGGCTTTTTTTACCACCGAGTCTTGTTTTCTATCGATAACTTTTCCACTTTATGTGGAAAATTAAATACCAGAATAATAAATCGCCGAATTTATACAATTACCATGTATAAGAGCTTTTAGCAAAATGTTGAACACTCGACGTGAAACTAATGAAAAAGTATTGTTCAATGATTATCTACTACTTTATTGTCTCCAGCTGATAGGTTCTAGGTTTTTCGTTTTCGGCTCGTCTTGATTTTATTTGTTTAGTTATTTTTCGTGAAAAAAAAAAACGATGAAAAAATGGTGTGATGTAGGAGTGTTAAGAGTAGTGAGTACAAGTGAGTGAGTGTTGGCACTACGAGTTAGCGAGTTCTATTTCAATCATCTTTCTTTCCGCAAATGGTACTGACACATTCGTAATACTTGTTCTACGTTGATTTAGAGTATTTAATAAAATCTCCACAAGATTGATCCGAGTTGTCGACTTTTCGGACGTTAATGACTTTTGTACCTATTAATGAAGTTAACGGGGTCTGCTCCATCGGAATATTTGAAAAGCAGCAATACTGAATACTGAAATGAAGCTTCTCGGAGAATACTTGCACCCAATCCTGATATACACACATAAATGAGACAATGAGGTATACATTATTTGAGAAGTACACAAGAAAGTTTTTCTGATAGCTGGAAAGTCTGGGTATTGCGATTTTCTTACGTCAGTTAGATGCTTCTCTTTTCTGCTTGATGGATACTTATTAACGTAAGATTTCCATTCGTTTTAGTTTACCATTGACATAACTGTCATGTTCAGATTCATTAATCACGAATGTTGTATGTTTAATTAGAGGAATATTTAATTTATTAACCACTTCTTTTGTTATTCAGAAATGTGTGGCGTCACTAAAACGCTGAAAGCAATGGGAAAGGGAAACAAAACTAAGGTCCTGTTGCGATGAAAATTTTGATTTTGACATTACGCGATTGTAGTAATTGGTAGCTATATTCTAACATACAAGACAATATATTGCCTACAAAAAAAATTGAAAGAAAAAAATCCCACCGCATTACAAAATGCATTAAAAGTTTGAATTCAATTCATGTAAAATTGATAAAAGTGGACTCTTAATTGGTTTTTCATTTACATCCTTTTGCCTTCTTACGAGTAGTTTCACTCAATATCTCTACCTATGTGGTGCGGCGTCACAAATATGATCTAATATTAACGGTTTCGAATTTAATAGTAAGCAGAATAAGAATCATTTGCCCATAATAACAGAACATCAAGATAGTCGTGAACGTTTTCTGTTAAAAATCTGCGTATAAAAAACAAAGTTGTGTTAGTTACCCATTTATAACTCAAGAACGGCTGGACCAGTTTTAATTATCTATGATTTGTTGGTTTCATCCCAACCCGGAAGAGCGTAATAACTAATAAAATTTCCGAATAATTCACGAAAATAGAAAATAAACAGTCATTCTAAATGCAACCCGCAGTATTTTACTATCTATTGTTAAATAACTCCTAAACTAAGCGATCTAGGGCATAAAAAACTAAAATTTTGACTTTTTTCATTTTAATTCAATTTCCATTTAAACTACACGAGCTTCATTGTTGCTGGCCGTTGCCATGTGACCCGGGGTGGCGACGAGCAGGACATGAGGTGAGGAACGTGGTATTGCGAACCAATGCTGAGCTGGGAGACGACAGCGAGGGGGTGATTGCTGCATGATATCAACCCGTAATAGCGCTGATAGAACGGAAAGATGGCGGGACGGTGCCATAGCAGAGCGTCAATGGTTGAACTTAGGGTAGTCTGCGACTCCTGTTAGAGCATTCCCTAAAAGTAGTTGAATTCTATTCGAAGTGCGCTAACGGACTGATGGATGTTACTCGGGCTATTATAAGTAAAATGTTTTGTCAAATAATAGGATGGAGATGGTGGGAGAGGGAGGCACGGACGGACGGAGAGGGAGGAAGGGATGGACGAAGAAGGAGGGACGGACGGAGGGGGGGGCGAAAGAGGGAAATGAAGGTTCTGCCTGGTTCCGCTAGTGTAAAAACAAAGAACTCTTCATAAAATAATAATAATAATAATAATAATAATAATAATAATAATAATAATAATAATATAATTAAAGAGTTGCAATTTATCTAAGAAGTTTGTTCTGAATTAGATATGCATCGATTGATAAAAGTTTGAAGCTCGATTTGTTTCTCAGAAACATAGGATTGCATCTACCTTTTTTAAACTTTTTTTTTTACAAACAAGGTCTAGAAAAATTAAAAGTTAAAATAAGTAATCCACGAGTGTTAAAATGCAAATTTTTAAGATATGTATATTCTGTCCTCTTGGAGGTTATGGCCTTCAGAAGGACACATCCGTATAAAGTATTTTAGTGAGCGCCCAACACCAGTTTGCGCATCACATATAGGGTTGCGTGAGCTAGTGCGTTTGAGTGCGTGCGTGCTCAGATTTGGGGCAAGTCCTTTGAGAAATGCTCGCCGCTTGATGGCAGCACCGTCGCTGGCTCTTCCGCATTGCTTCCCATAAGGCGTTATTCGGCCAAGGCCAATTCGTGAGAGCTACCTGCCGTGCATAGGCTTTGCAGCGCAAGTGTCGACTAGTGTTGTATCTTCTTAGGATACGGGTCTCTCGCCAGGTTTTTAATTGTCACTTCCCCTTTTAATTATCAAAGGTTTAGGCAATCACACGCTTTGGGGTGAAGATAAAAAGTCGCAGACCTAGAAATGTAAATGCAATCCAATGTCAGAAACAAATTCTAAAGTTTATTAAGAGCTCAGGTCTTTTTTATATAAGCCTAAGACTATTCGGTGTGTGGTTTGTTTACATTTGAAATGAAAAATAACAGAGGAGAATATTTGAAAAGCGAAACTCTGAAAATATCTCTTTATGTCATGAATAATACCAAAACTACAATCTAAAATAAACAAATATTACGTTTCTGTATCATTTTCCCACCCATTTAATTTTTATCATGGTTTTCTTGTTGAAGTAAATTAAGTCTTAAAAACAAACCACACACATCTAAAAATTCCTACATAAAACATTGGTGTCATCTTTTCTTTTTCTTTGTTAAACATTAAAATGTGGCTGCGAGCGCCAAAAGAGAAAAATAACGATGATAAACTTACGTCAAGTGCCAAAGTGAAGAGTATGCTACTTATCAAAAATACATAGTAAGGGTGGGAAC